TTATAAGAAAGCATAGAAGTAAATCTTCATGATCTTGAATTTGGCAAAGCCTTCTTAGATGTGACACCAAAATCAGGAACAGCAAAAGAAAAAATAGGTAAATTGGACTTCATCAAAATTAAAAACTTTTGTGCTTCTAAGGAGACCATATGGATCTTATTTAAACGTTCTGTTGTAGCTGGTTTCCTCTGACACTGCTCCAGCAGAAGAGTGGGGGTGAGGGAGTGGCCACCTCATTATTGCCAGCGTGGGTAGAAGTCCAGTAGGATGCTGGACTCTCTCAGTCTCTACTCAGCCTCTGTTGGCATTTGAGTTGGGGCTGCTTTTCATTACTTATAGGTGGTGATGGGAGTTCCAGGTCTTCACTAGGCCTCCACTGATACTTCCCTGGTAGGAGGGGTAAAAGTGTCTTAATACTGCCCCCAATGTGGACCTCACTGACACCAGAGGTGGGGTGAGTAACCTCCGGCCTCATTACTACCAGGCGGTCATGAAAGTCCAGACTCTCCACTAGGCTTCCTCTGACACCACGCTGATGGTGGTGGCAGTGGCAGGAGAGTTGGGGCACTTCATTAGAGGCTAGCTAAAGTGCTAAGTCTGAGCTCTTGACTTGTCCTCTATTGATGTGGGTGGGGTTGGGGCCACAGTCTTTTCCATCAGGTTTGGCTGGAGTATAGCAGTTATTGCCTAAAGGTTTTCTGTCTTACTAGGCTGCCCTTTTCCAGGTCCTTGGCTAAAGAGAGTAGGCTTTTGTTGGGGCTTTCCTTCACTTGTGCTAGTTGCCAGGTTCTTCAGCTCCAAATCTAGGATATATGAGGCAGAAAGACAACCCAGAGGACTCACTCCTGTCTTGTGCTTTGGGTCTTGAGATCCCTACTTGGTCTACCTTCTCTCTACCTTTTAGAATCTTCCCATGTTTGTTTTCAGATCACAGACTTTTAAAACCTAAAGTATCTTGGAGAGACATGATCCTGTTTAATCACTTTATTTTACAGTAGAAGAAAATGAACCCCAAGGTTACAAGATAGCTGCAATGTTGGAAATAAATTCCAGTGTTCAAAGTGCTTTTTAGTGCATCATATTGCCTCAGTCAGATGGCTTTGTTTCATTTTATTAGATGTGTACTTAAATTAATTGAAACCTTTTCCTCCAGATGCTCAAATTTAGGGTGAAAATTTAGAACCGTATATTTTGTCCAGCAAATAATCAAACACTTTGTAAATTAAACTTATGAATCATTTTCTACTGTGTAAGTTTGAACCAAAATAAATTTTTATAAGAAGATACTGAACATCCACTTTATGTAAAACACTGTGCTAATATAGTCTGTAAAATGTTACCAATCCACTGGTAATGTTCCATCTCAAAAACCTCTGACGTGCAAAAATGTCCCAGGTGTTTTTATTTAAAGACAAGTTATTAAAACTTGATGCTGTTCTTTTAGGAAACTGGTCTGTTTCCATATGCATTTCTTTCATTTGTTTTTTAAATTTCCTATTGGAGTACCTGTCTTGTTTTAAATCTTTCATCAGTGTACAACTCCATTGACATAACTGCCAATGGAAGATGTTTATTTAATCTATTTAAATTGCTGTTCCACAACTGAGTTTTCCAAGAGGATTTCCTAAATTGCTTCATAGATGAGTTCAAGTGACTTATTTTTTTCCTCCCAAGTATTAGGCAGATACCAAATATAAAGCTATATTATTTAGTCTGTCAAAGCTTTGTACTATGAGTAATTGGTAATTTGTTTTCCTAATTGCGAATTAGAAAGGTCTCAAAGAGACTAATTCTGACAGCTCTGGGTAGCCTTTTTTGGTCAAAATGATATTAAAACATTTTTTTTTTTTTTACAAAAGGCTATGTTTGCACATTACAGAACAATCCGAAAATATTGACAAGCAAAAATGTCCTGAAAACATTTATAATTCTCCCAACCTAGAAACTTAATACCTTGACATCAAGGTGTAGGCTTCCGGACCTTTTCCTAGGACATGTTTAAATATATACGTACATGAATGTTTTAGTAGAAAAAACCCTCAGTTATGGTACTTCTACAGCATCTAGCACAGGGCCTGGGGCTCTTAGGCTTTTGGGAAAGAATGAAACATGTTATTATACATAACATTTGTTTGGGGGCTTGTGTTACTAATCTTTTTTTATTACGTTACCTCTTTAGGTTTACGCAGGTGTATGCTTTTAGACTTAATTCATTTTATACTATTTTACTTTAGTAGAAATAGGCTTTCAACCATAAGATACATTTTTAACAACTAGTTGAGGATAAGAATGAAAGAAAGGACAAGGCCGAGTGAGACTGGTTGATTTCTAAAGTAGTCATTGTTTGGGGTTATTTCTAGCCTATTTGCCATGCATAAGCATAAATATCTCATTCTGCTAGTTATGAATCAAGAAGTCAAGTGTTTATTAAACCCTCCAAGAATTTTGTTTTTGTTTTAAAAAGTAGCATTTATTATTTTCCTGACTATAAAAAAATGTTCATTATAGAGAATTTTAAAAAATTTAAAAGTTCAAAGAAAATTTAAGTGGCCCATAATCCTACTACTCAGCAATAACTACAGTTAACGTTTTTATGTAGTTGCTTCTAGTCATTTTTCTATGCATATGCATTTGTTTTTACAAAGTTACGATGACACAACTATGTGATCAAATGAACTTGAAACACATTGTTAAATTTCCATAAATTTTAAATGACCATATTTAAACATAACCATAAATTAATATATCAATTTATTTAAAGATTTTACTATTGTTGACTTAGACTGGATTTTCCAGTCTTTGTCATTATACATGACACTGCAGTAAACATCTTTTTGTGTGTGTGTGAGGAAGATTGGCCCTGAGCTAACATCTGTGTCAGTCTTCCTCCATTTTATATATGGGATGCTGCCTCAGCATGGCTTGAGGAGCAGTGTGTAGGTCTGTGCCTGGGATCTGAACCCACAAACCCTGGGCTGCTGAAGCAGAGTGCATGAACTTAATCACTATGCCACTGGGCCAGCCCTGTGCAGTGGACATCTTTTATATAAAAACCTTTGCTTTGATTTCTATTTTCTCTGGATAGATTACTAGGAGGGCAATTACTGGATCAAGGGTCATAAACTTTTTTAAAGTTCTTAAGATATTTTGCCAAAAAGAATCTCAAGAATTTGAAGTATAGTTTTTAAATTTCATCTCAATTTTTAACATGCAGATAGAGACACTCAAGGTGATATGCTACTGGACAGGAAAAAAAATGTGCACTTATCATAGATAACACATCCATGTATTAAAGTTGCTTCCACCTGTTCAGAACGGATTCTAGTAAATTGTACATTTCTGGAATTAATCATTATATTCTATGAATAAATTAAGAAAAGCCATACTAAAAATTAGTTGCAGTGGAAACATTTTTAGTAGTCTGTTAATTATAGTCTTATGCATGTCTGAGAAGACACAGCTGCTTTCATTGCCAAGCAAGCTGCACTAATATTAAACAAATGTTAAAGAAGCAAACTGGTAAAGAGAATAACTACCAGCAGGAAGTTTAGGTGTTCACACAGAGATCTGGTCTCAGGCTCTGTGCTGTTCCCCAGCCATGCTGGTCAGATCTCATTACTAAGAGCGGTGGTTTTCTGTTGTTATCCTCAACCTTGCAAAGAACTCTGCTGATGGGGAGCGCTGGGTCAGTATGAAGGGTTGTATGTATACTCATCAAATTGCCCTAAGACTCAAGCTTTCTCTCACAACCATTTTCTTTTTCACTCAAGGTATGTCACTGTCTTCATGATTGCCATTGAAGAAAATATTCTCTTGGAAAACATAAGGTCGTGCAGAATTTCTAACAGTGAAATCTCATTGGTCATATCCTATTCTGATGCCTCATGGAGTTTGTCATTTTTGGAGCTGCTATATTGACCAATACAGACGTACCTGTATTAGGTGGGTACAACAACTATCGGTTTAAGCATCCTAAGAAAGTCAGTTTTGCCACTTGTGGAAAGAACTGGGCTCTTTTTCATCCTGTTTCTACACACGTACAGGCAACCATGATTGTTCAGAATACCCAATTCACAAAATATTTGATTCATAAATTTTAATTAAAGCCTTAAATTCAAAATGTTTCTGAAACTGGTGAAACTTCAAAATGGAACATCATAAAATGAAAAAGGAGGGGCTGGCCCCGTGGCCGAGTGGTTAAGTTCATGCGCTCCCCTGCAGGCGGCCCAGTGTTTCGTTGGGTCGAATCCTGGGCGTGGACATGGCACTGCTCATCAAACCACGCTGAGGTGGCGTCCCACATGCCACAACTAGAAGGACCCACAACGAAGAATATACAACTATGTACCAGGGGGCTTTGGGGAGAAAAAGGAAAAAATAAAATCTTTTAAAAAAAAATAAATAAAATAAAATAAAATGAAAAAGGAGTCAATGTATTCTTTTTAAATAGCCAAACACAGCCTTCAAACACAAAAGCACCAACAACTGGTGCCTTGCTTGTTTTGACAAACTATTCAAATAAATTTTAATAGAAATTAAAAATGTGTAAATTCTGCTGCACAGCTTATAATCACAATGCTTAGTATAATATATAGTATATTGCACACAGAAAATGTGACTTTAATGCATACCACTAGCAAAAGTACCTAACTTTTTAATGCTCTGTACTTGCGCATATTTTTGTTAGATATGTTTGATATCACAGACTTCAGATGTCTTTTATAATTTTGTGTTCCTTTGGTTGATTTCCACAACAGATTTGCATGCCCCTAACCCATCCTGGTTAATATTTCTTTATATCTGTATCTGAAGTTTGGGAAAGTGACCTGAATGAACAAGCCTTGACTGTGGTGTCACCAGTCTTTCAGTGGTTATGTTAATAACATGTACATATATTTCACCTCCATCTCTTTTTCCTCAGAAACTGTCATGTGTGAAATCATAATGCTGTTTCCTTGATGAGTTTTATCATAAAAAACATCACATTCATTCTGCATGATTTTTTAAAATTAACTTTACTGGGGTATAACTTACATAAAATGCACCCATTTTAACTGTACATCATGATACACTTAGATAAAATGTATGCACCTGCACTCTGCATGATTTTTAACTTAGAGGGATGTGTGACCTGAGTTCAATACTAAATGGTCACTTACTAGCTATGTGACCTTGGGTAAGTTACCTTAACTTCTCAAAGCCTCAGTTCTTCTCTCTGTAAAATGAGGATAATGACAATCTCATAGAGTTGTGAAGATTCACTCTGCTACCATCTACTGCTGAATAATTTCTGAAGGACAAAGTTCCACTAGAAATAAGTAGTTATGAAGTCAGGCAAAAATTCACAGACGCTAAAGCGTAGCTTCTGCAATTGTTCCAGTACGATGCTAAGCACTGGAAGCAGGTTGGTGGCGGGTTTTTTTTCCTTTACACTCCCTACAAGCGTGAAGGCAACGTTCTTCAGCGTCTGAGAACGTGGGCGAACTGTATGTGCTGAATGACGTGGCTTCGCTTTGGTCACAAGGGCTTCTGCCAGCCAATGAACAACTTCCTGTGAATACAGTCTGACGTCAGACATGGAGAAACCCATACGGCAGTGGCTTCATGTCATCCTTGATTACGTCTGGATATATACTCGGAGATTTTTTTCTTTTTTTTCATTTATTTGTTTATTTTTGGATGTACATCATAATATATTTCCGATTCTGTGTAGATTACATCATGTTCACCACCCGAAAACTAATTACAGTCCATCCCCTCACAGGTGAGCCTAATCACCCCTTTTGCCCTCCCTCCTCCCCGCTTCCCCTGTGGTAACCATCAATCCAACCTCCAATGTTATGCGTTTGTTTGCCGTTGTTTCTGGAGATTTTCACCCCCACATCTTTCAGATAGCCGAGGGGAACAGTGAAAACAGCCATACGCATTTTCCAGCTTCGTGCCTACATTTCTCCAAATATTGCTCTCTGAACTTGGTCTGCAAGTATCAGGTCAGGTGTCTACTGTAATTAACAGGCATCCTGCGGACTGTAATTAAAAGGCAGTTTGAAATTAGTGATACTTTGATTCTAGCCATTTGTATTTTATAACTCACAGTGAATTCGCCTCAAAAATGTTTAGTCCTCTCATGTCCTTGCTCCCTGGTTTTTCTTCGGTTAGGCACTTTGGAATTCAGCTGCATTCTTCTACTTTCAACAAGTTACCTTCCTACCACTTCCATTTGGGTGGAGCCAGAAGGAAGAAACGCCCAAACAGATCTTCAGGATCCACCCTCCCCAATAGGTTCTCACGGCAGAGATGCGCCTGGCAGGAGCTTCAACCCCAAGGCCACCCGCCGCCGCGGGTTCCCAAACCCGGATAGGGCCCTAATGGGAAAGCAGCCTGGGTTCGCCTCGGCCCAGCCTCCGCCAAGTCTTCGGGATCTGACGACCCACAACAGCGCGAGGGCGGAGGGACCGGAGGAAGCAGAGGAAGAGGAGGAAGAGGAATTGCTTTTGTCGAGGCTCCGCCCGGCGCTAGCCAGGCCTCGTGGAGCCTCCGGGGCTCGGGGTCCCCAGGGGGCGTGGCCTCAGGGGCGGAAGCGGAGCGCGGGCGGGGGCTCAGGCAGCGCGCGGCGCGGGGGAGGGTCGGAGCCTCACCGGGCGGGGCGGGGCCGCAGGGCCTCCCCAGAGCGGGCGGCGGAGCTGCACTAGTCCGCGCGCGGTAGGGCGGAGACCCCGTACCCGAGGAGAAGGCAAATTCTTAAGAAGGTCTCCAGTTCTGCCCATCCTGCCCCACAGTGTAAGTGACCAGTGCGGGTCGCCAGCCCGAGAGCCGGCAATCAGGGTAGCTTCTGTTTTCATTTTCACTTTCCCGCCCACGCCTCAGACTTGGAGCGGAGCAAGGCGTGGGGGCCAGCCCTGGTGTCACCGCCTCCGCCGCCAGGCTGGTCCCCTACCGGCGGCAGGCGAGGGCACAGGGGCAGTGGTGTGGGGGTTAGGTGCTCTGCAGGGTGCACTCTCCAAAATGCTACCCTGCCCCGAGATTTCCGCCATCGAAGCAGTCCAGGATAAAATGCAAATATACTGGGGTCTTAATTAGTAACTGAAGTGTTTCTGGCCCCCAGCTATCTAAAAATATTCTTCTGGTTTAAGAGATTAAGTGCCTTTTTCTTCTTTTTCTTTCTAGTGGAAAACTGGACGCTGAGAAGTACACGCCAGATTTGGCGGCCAGGCTAGTCTGAGAGCTATAGGACATGGAGCACCCCCAGGGGAAGCAAGACAGGATTCTCTCTCCCTCCTAGATGTGAATGTGTGACATAGCTCCGCTCTCAACTCCTCTTTGCAGATGATTTGTGTTGTCAGATAATTCAATCTTTCTAGTTTTGTGACAGCTTCTTAACTGAATTCCTCCACTTTTAGTTCAGCTTAAGCCTTGATTGTGTCATCTACCCCAATGCTAGACGAAAGAGTTAAAGGACCAAAAGAGAGTAAGCCTTTTAAAGAAAGAAAAGAGCTATATAATTGCCTAAGTAAAGCATACTTCAGCTTTCATAACTGCAAAATACGTTCAGTTTAACCAACCAAATTTTGTGCTGGACCCTGGGATAACACATATGTACTATAGATACTCTAGTAGGGAAGATAGATGAATAGAAAGACAACTATAAGTCAGTGTTATACCTTTAATAATAAGAGCACATACTAGGTACAAAAGTGGCTAACTGAAGGAGTGACTAATTCTATGAGGTATCTGGGGACAGGGGTATAAGAAAAAGGTTTCAGCCAGGAATGATGCCCATCAGAGGGGGTGTTTGAAGCATTAGCAGGAATGGTTAAAAAAAAAAAAAGCTCATGAGGTAGATAGTAATAAATGACTACGAAATACTGATTGACAACACAGAAGAAAGTAAACTGTAAAGAGGTGAATTCTCTTAATTTTAAATTATCAGCAAAGAGATTAGTTGAAAAATGGGGTGAAGGAATAAAGAACTCCTTTTAGTCAAGTCTTAAAAGTTACAGAAGTAAAATAACGCTTCCATAATTCCCACTCCAGTAAAGACCAGTGTTGTTACATTGGTGTATGTTCCTCCAGGGTGTGTATTCATGACTGACCTAGTTTTCTGTAGAAATGGAATCTTCATACACTGGAGGTGGTGTAGGAAAGTGGTTGCATGTGCTGGCTTAGGCAGTCTGGTCTGGAGTGCAGGGTCCACTCCTTCCCAGTTCTGTCATCTTGGGAAGTCATTTCTCTTCACCTCAGTTTCCTCCTCTGCAGAATAGGGCTATAACTGTGTCACTTGTCGGTTGAGATTTTAAATGTCAGCAGAGACGTTTTGTGCATGGAAAGGAACCCATAAAGTGGCTTTTGTTTTAATTGATATTTAATTTATTAGGAGTGTAAAATTTAATTCTAGTTACTAAGCAGTGAAACCCAAATCTCAAATTCACTTATAAATCTATCAATTTTATGTTAAAATAAAACACTTTTCTTGTTCTTTGCTTAATCCTCAGTGAACATATTACTTTGACATATTAAACTTCCCATTTAAACACTATAAATGGAATAGAATTTTCTTAAGTATTACATATTAAAATCACAAAAGCACACAAATCTAACACATTAAATCCTCTTACATATTTATATAGTTTATAAACCTCATTTATTAAATTCCCTTGAATATGTCAAATTTACATGTTGCAGTATCTGCTTGTCTCAACTACTACAGCCCCTAATGAGGCAGATTTCCACTCTGTAAATCGTCCTGGTCCATCTCTGCCCAGTCCTGAGCACTTCCTGTGGGAGTCTTCCAGACCACTGAAAGGGCATTGGTCAGCAGCATGGGCTCCCAGCCAGACTGCTCTGCTACTTACTGGCTATGTGGCCTCGGTTAAGTCACGTCCCTCTTTGTGCCTCAGTTTTATCATCTGACAGTGGGGTAGCAATAGTATGAAACTCAGAATGGTTGTGAGCCTTACCTGAGCTGGTGCATGCAAAGCACTTAAAACAGTGCCTGGCGGGGCTGGCCCCGTGGCCGAGTGGTTAAGTTCGCGCGCTCCGCTGCAGGCGGCCCAGTGTTTCGTTGGTTCGAATCCTGGGCGCGGACATGGCACTGCTCATCAGACCACGCTGAGGCAGCGTCCCACATGTCACAACTAGAAGAACCCACAACGAAGAATACACAACTATGTACCGGGGGGCTTTGGGGAGAAAAAGGAAAAAATAAAATCTTTAAAAAAAAAAAAAAAAAAAAAAACAGTGCCTGGCAAGAAGCAAGCTAAGCACTCAATGAATGTGCTAGTGGAAATCCAGTAAATCAACTTCTCTTAGGCGTCTGCACAGCATAAAAATCAAACCTATACATTAAATCAAATTCACTTAAGTATTTATTTATTTTTTAAGATTTTATTTTTCCTTTTTCTCCCCAAAGCCCCCCGGGTACATAGCTGTCTGTTTTTAGTTGTGGGTCCTTCTAGTTTTGGCATGTGGGATGCCGCCTCAGCATGGCTTGATGAGTGGGGCCATGTCCGCGCCCAGGATCCAAACTGGCGAAACCCGTGGCTGCTGCAGCAGAGCGCACGAACTTAACCACTCAGCCACGAGGCTGGCCCCTCACTTAAGTGTTTAAATATTCACTACATCCCTAATTGGTCAAATCCTAAGTACTTCAATTAAAAATCAGTCTAAAACATCAGCTTTTTTTTCCAACCTGTGAGATTCTCTAGAACATTTCAAATCTCTTATATACGGAGAACATAACACAAGCAGCACAGGGAGTTAAAAATTTGTTACTACATCTTGTAAATATGTCAAAAAAAACCATATTCATTTCTTCATGTGTATGTTATTTGGGGTCACAGTCATTATCAAATGATATTAACCAATGGAGGGGAACAGATTTATTTTGGGGCTGTTAATCTGATGTTGGGTGTTCAGGGTTGTCAGTCAAAGACGAGATTGGGGTTATGCATTGGGGTTGTCGGTCAAAGATGCCAGATGGGCATAGGGAGGGTGTGGGAGGCAGGGGGCACGTTCTGGGGATTGCACCTGGTTTGCCAGTTAACGAGCTGAGCCCCTCGTAATAGCTGGGAGCTGCCTGCCACGTAGTGGGAACTCAAAGCATTTCAGATGGGATTGATTTTCACAACCTCGCCCATCGCCAATCCCCCAGGAATCTTACAAGTTTTGCCTTTGCCTAATTTTTGTGGTGACGACTTTCAACTTTTCCCTGCTTGATTTGAGAGGATGGAACTCTGCACTTTCCCACTGAAGACTTCAGCTAATCTTTTTGCTCATTAATCAAATTCTTGACCTTTATATCTACTTTCTTATCTGTCTAATAAACAGGTTAATGCCATAGCCCCCCATCATAGGATTGTTGTAAGCCTTACATGAAATTTTGGAAATCCCAATGTCTAGTATATAGCAGGTGGTCACTAAATGTAAACTATTATTATTGTTATGTGGTTACTTTTTTCAGCTTTGTTTTTTTCTTTAAACATTTTCAGTCTCTAAATATTTGATTAAAATGCAAAAGAACAGTTGTCCTTCAGTCAAAACTCAAACTTGCACTGCCTCATGGTAGGACAGTGTGTTAATTTCCTATTCCTGCTGTAACAAATTACCATAAACTTAATGACTGAAAATCACACAAATTTATTATCTTACACTTCTGGAGTCAGAAGTCTAAACCAGTCTCACTGGACTAAGATCAAGGTGTTGGCAGGGGGCTGCGTTCCTTTCTGGACATTCTCCGGGAGAATCCCTTTCCTTGCGTGTCCAGCTTTGAAAGGCCACCTGCATTCTTTGGCTCATGGTCCCTTCCTCCAGCAATAGTATCACTCTGACCTCTGCTTTTGTCAACATATCTCCTCTGACTTTGACTCTCCTGCCTCCCTCTTTCACTTTTAAGGACCCTTATAATTTCATTGGGCTCACCTGGATGACCCAGGCTAATCTCCTCATCTCAGAATCCTTAATTTAATCACATCTGCAAAGTTCCTTTTGCCATGTAAGATAACATTCACAGATTTCAGGAATTAGGACATGGACATTATTGGGCAGCCATTATTCTGCCTGCCACACATAGTATTCCTGAAATTACTGATGATGAAAACAAAGTTGGCATTATGTATCAGCAAAGGGATGAAAAAAAATTCTTATTTCACTGTCCTTTAAATAGACCTTGGCCAAATGCTGACAGCAGTTGAAGACAAACCCTTTGGCTATTTGTTTCTCTAGAATTGAGCAAATTTTTAAATCTAAGGGATTCTGAATACCTTACAGGTATTCAGCAGTATTTTCTATGATAACCATACACACGCACACAATATCATCTCATCTATCCAGAACATGGCAACATGTTCCTAAGCTGCCAGAACTTAGGAAGGGCATATGCACACACACGTGCACACACACACACACAAGCTATCCTGAGTAGCCAAAATAGCTGACAAAAATGTCTCAAGACTCTTGAGTTTCACTCATAGGAAAACGTTAGACTCACACTCAGATCCCGCCACTTGACATATAGTTCTCATAAGCTTATTTCTAATCCTTGGCTGACTTGAAGTATAAAATGAGAAGGGCAAGAAGGAAAGCTCTAGGCAGGTAAATTGACAGAACTAAGAAGACTTGAGGAAACAATATCTCAGTTAATAATCTGCCTTGTTTATATGATATAATCCAATGAAATAAAATTATACTAAATCTGTGCATTCAAGTCAAGAAAGGAAGGCAGGAAATAAGACGTGTTTTAAGTAGAAGCTGTTAATTCTCAAATCTTTGGCAAATCACTCCCTCCCTGGGCTTTCACTTCTGCAAAGAAAAGAGTGAGACACATAGACTGTTTGATGTCTACACTCCTGTCTATTCTAGAATTCTGTGATTTCAGGTGACAACAATAGCTTGTCACCAAGAGACAATCAGAAGTGCTATGACTGTGGTATATACTATTTTTTATTATATTTACTACAACGACTGCTGCTATGAATCTAACATTTTACTGGCCCTGAGATACCTCAGTCGTCTGGGACAGTTAACAGTGAGACAGGCAGGGCAATGCGCTTCAGTAGTGTCAAAGGCATCACTTTTTCACAAGCAGAACAATATTTATGATGCTTTAATCTCACCAGCAAGTAATGAACAGCTATGTGCCAGGCAGTGTGTTAGGTTCTGTCTTCATGAGAAATTAATTTATTTTCATATGTTTCAGGAGACAAGTGGAAAGCAATCACTAAATTAAAACTTTAAAAATATGTTGGCCGGCCCATGGCTGAGTAGTTACAGTTCCATGTGCTCCACTTCAGTGGCCCAGGATCCTTGGGTTTGGATCCCAGGTGTGGACCTACTCCACTCATCAGCCATGCTGTGGAGGCATCCCACATGCAAAGTAGAGGAAGATCGGCACAGATGTTTGCTCAGGGCTAATCTCCTTCACCAAAAAAAAAAAAAAAAAAAAAAGGTAAATGTTTTGATCTAGAAATTCTTCCCAGAAGCTATCCAAGAGAAACTTTCATGCAAATGCTCAAAGATACTTGTTCAGCGATGCTCACTGATACATTATATGCAATAGAAAAACACTGGAAATGACCTAAATTTCTGTCAATGGCTTGAGAGAGACCTATATACACCAATGTGAAAAGATGCCAAGATAGAATGCTAGACGACCAAAGAAAGTTGTAAGACACTACAAATGTTTTTCTTTTGTTGGTATATAGATGTAAGTATATACATAAAAATATCTCAAGGATATACAACAAAGTATTAATAAGCAGCAGGATTATGGAGATTTTTTCTTTCTACATTTTTTATAACGTTCACTTAAAAATAATAACCACATCCCACAGGAAAAAGAACAAAGGTAAAACAAACAGAATAATGCAAAATAAAAGGCAAGAAATTAAATAATAAGTTTTAGCAATATTTTCTTGAGGAAGTATTGAAATTGTGCTTAAAACAACACGTTTTCCAAGAATTCAGAATAGATAAGTTGTTTCGCCTGCAGTGTTCTGACCGCGTAGCTAGAAGCTGTGACCCTTTACTTAGTTACCCCTCTTTTCATCCTGATTGGTTTTGAGCTTTCAATAAAGCTTTTCACCTGAACTTGCGCTTTAAGTGCCCTGGACTCAGAACAGGGGCTAACAGTGAGGGCATACATGCCAATTTGTTTACGAATCTCTCAGAGGAAATCATGTGCATCTGTCTGTTTACTTTTCCTTGGAACCTAGAAGGTCAGCTCTAAAAATAATCTCGCTCAGTGTCAGAGCTTCCGTGACACAGAGGTACATGCCTTGCATACTCTCTGCAGTTAGTGCCCTGTGCCAGGCTTATCCAGTTCCCCAAAACACTTGGACCAGAGAAGGAGGGGAAGGCAGCTGCCCGCTAAACTGTCCAGTTACTGATGTTGTTTAGAAATGGATACAAAGGAGGCACTTTA